ACAGACTTCAGCCAAGCTAAGAGAGAGGTGATACCTCTCTTGTAGGCCTCCAAATCTCAAATTCTAACTAATTGATTTTTTAAATCAATTAACAGAGACTGATTATTCTTAATAGTCTGCCAACACAACTGTACTAATTCATAATAATCAGCACTTAAAATTCTAATGATCACATGTAAAATTTCTACAAGTAAATCCATGAAATCCCTGATGGTAAACAGAGCACATTGATGGCCAGAACAAATGACCATCAAGTAAATACAAAATCCTACCTAAATGTAAACAAAATTTAAAAAAAAAAAACTTTGTCCTGTGAAAGTATGGAAATTCTCTAGATCCCAGAAAAGTTCTGCTAGATAGAGCAGATAAGTGCTGGTATCCAATCAAAGAAAGCTTTATTTGCCTGCACTACAGTGGAAAAAATAATTCTGAAGCCCTTCGTCAAAATTAGCCATTCAAATCAAAACAGCTGCCTCATATCTTTAAGTCTAATTACACCGACACAGACTTTTTAGAAAAACAAAAATAAACTACAAGATGAAACTATAAAAACAATTTGATATAAAATACCACAGTCAAGAGTAATAACATATCACTTATTGATCAGGTCACCTAAATCTATGGGTTGTCAGGACCAAAATTTTTTTCTTATTAATACTGGAAATCAGTGGCTCATGCTTGTAATTCCAGTAATTTGGGAGGCCAAGGCAGGAGGGTCACTTGAAGCCAGGAGTTCAAGACCAACCTGGGCAACACAGCAAGACCCAGTATCAAAAACAGAAACAAAACAAACAAAAAGTGGCTTACTGGTTTCTGACTTAAAATGTTTAAGAAAGGTATCTGTGCTTATGGGAAACAGAAAACTCTCTCTGAATTAAAATACCACAGATACAAATATTTTCACTTTTTTGTTTAAAATCTAACTAAACTTGTAGGTACATGAGATAAAAGAATAAAATCACCTTAGGTTTTCAAACAGAAGATTTTTGTAATCTTAAACAGCCATATCAACAATCAGAAGGTTATGACAGTAAAGAAATAAAATTAAACTTGCAAAAATGATTTTAAAATAAGTTAAGCTAAAAAGGAGAAAGGTGGTAAAAGATTATGACAGTA